TAACCAACAACTTTCCAACAAAGGCCCCGTGACAAAGGAAAGCGAGCCAGCCTGCCTTTGCCTTTTCCTGCAGACGCGAAGGGCTCTCAGCTCCAGCATTCAGGCCCAACTTGGGTACATCTCAGCAGAGCAAGACAAAGTCCCTGTGACTAGCCCAGGCAGCCGGCTAGCTTGAAGGCAGCGGGCGGTGAAGTGTAAGGAGAAACTCTCACCGTAGGGTAACAGTGCCCTCTGCTGACACTGCCTTGGAAGATGGAATTCACGGCGTTTCTGGTCCCTAAAAGTCTTTCACTCTGTGATTGTGTGCTGTCGAGTCTATTCCGACTCATGGTGACCTTACAGAGCAGAGTATAAGCGCCTCATAGGGTTTCCTAGGCTGTCATCTTTACGGGAGCAACCAGGTCTTTTCTCCCGCAGAGCGGCTGGTGGGTTCAAACCTCCAACCTCTTCTGCTAGCAGCCGAGCTCTTAACTACTGCCCCAGGGCTCCTTTCTCTCTGTGGTACCAGTAGCCAGCATGTATGGGGTGCTCATTCTTACCCCCAGGAAGATATAACGGTCAGGAAAGGAGATAAACTGGGGCAGGAAGGGGAGAGAGAGAGACAAGACGGAGGGATGGGCGTGGGAGGTGTGGCTCTACTTTTGGGGCTCTCCCGATCCGGCAAGGACAAGCATAGAAGCCTCATATTTCTCTATGGAAAAAGCCAGCACAGAACCAAAATGCAGTTTAACAGAATGATGGCAGAGTCTGCCTCCCGGCTGTAATTGATCTGAAATACACAATTTCCTCTGGCACCCTGGACAAAGTTATTGTGTTTCTAAGAATATCACAATGGGGGAATGCAATGGGAACTGTACAGGGCAAAAGGCAGAAATAAGTAGATTCCATTCAGAGCCCATCTATCAGCGTGAGCTTTGCCCTAGGCTGAGGACCTTGGAGGGAGGCCCTGCCCACACCGTTCAAAGGAGAGAAGCGAAGCATAATGTTAGAACCCGGGAAGGCCTCTGCAGGAGCCCCATATGTTTTTTATAAAATGGCACAATGTGAGCATTGTTCTGTGCTCAATAGCACGACTGTTAAAACTAATGCTTTTGGTATGAATAGGACCATTTAAAATCCCCAACCAGTTGCATTTACTGACAATAAGCATCAGAAAACAAGCCCAGAAGCAGAAATTTCTCACTTTGGGGTCAGTTGACTTTAAATACACATGCCCTAATGTGCCCAAGTTCCAAAAATAAACTGAACATTTGCATGAACAATGTTCTTGCCCCTAGTTTTTTGCAGCTACAAATACCAAAGCAGATTTTCACATGCATGTCCTAGAACCAGGAGTCCCTGGGTGAAGCAAACGGTTAAGTGTTTGACTACTAGCTGAAAGGTTAGCAGCTTGAACTCACCCAGAAGTGCTTGGGAAGACAGGCATGGCGATCTGCTTCTGAAAGGTCACAGCCTTGAAAACCCTATGGAGCACAGTGCTACTCTATAACACAGATGGGGTCACCATGAGTCGGAAATGACAACCACGAACATCTTAGAACCTAACAGATTCTGTGTACACAGGGAGAGGCACGTATGTCCTAATTTCTATATCATTCCAGCCCATAACTCCCCACTACCAAGCCCAGCCCACCCCCAGATCAGCCTGACACACAACCCAAGCTGCTTCTCCAGGTCCTCAGCACCCACATGCAGGTCTCCAGGTCCTCCACCTCTTGCCGCCTGCTCCCACTCCCAGCTGCCCTCCTGAGGTCTGGCTGACCCAGTGGCGCTCCAAAAGAAAGGTGGGTAAACTCAGTTTTGATAACACAATTGGAAGAGTAAGAAATTTTTTCCCAAGTCTTGGAACGAATGTCCCCAAATGCCCAGTATACTGGATATCTGCTGGGGTTTTAGGCAGCAAGCATCTGAATCCATTTTCAATTTGGGGAATTCCCTATCCCTTGTGTCTTGAAGGGAGGCAGTACTTCCACTTCTGCAACCGAAGCTGGTGGCTGGGGTAGAAACCAGCTAACTCATGATTTAGAAAATAATATTGGAATCATTTATTCCCTCTCCTTGAGCATAGAGAATGTGACCCAACTGGAGCTGGACAAGGACACATCGACTGGGCCCTGAGGTATAAAGACAATAGCTAAGATAATCTTGGAAAGTATCTTTTAGGGAAACTTTCACATAAAGTCAATCAAGCAGAACACAGAAGACTCTCTACTCTTTTTCAATTAGCATTTAGTGAATAGAAATTTGTTGGGCCAGTGAAGAACCTCCTGTCTTACTAAAACCTGTACCAGTGATTGTTAAGAAAGACAATTCAAAATGTAGGATCACAGTTCTCCAGCCAATCTGAAAAGGCTAAGCTTTCAATGGTTTTGCCCATTTGTAATGTTAATATATACTGATGGCTCTGTAATGGCTCCTTGGACTTGGGCAGACACGCCTGTGGCAGCATGCTTGTCCATTTTCCCATTCTTGCCTGTTCTGTAATATTCTTTGGACTCAGGCAGACATGGCTCTAGCAGCATGCTTGTCCGTTTACCCACTTTTGTCTGTTCTGTGATATTTCCTTGGATTCAGGCAGACATTCCAGCTCTGGCAGCATGCTTGTCGGTTTCCCACTTTTGCCCTTTTGAATATATGCCGAATAAAATTTTCTTTTTGCTTTACTCAACTTTGTGATGTTCTTCCCCTACAATACCCATTAGACCTAGGCTTTTACGGAGTGGTGCAGTCACCAGAACAGTTAATTAGGCAGTGGAGTTGCGGGCCCAGCATCTACCTTGGTTCTTCCTGTTTTCAAGCCTGGTTCTCCAGTCTTCCCAGAGACTCCCAGTGCTGACTCATGGCCTGTCAGTAAATTCCTTTCTTCTCCAGTCAGTCAGGGTTGGTGTCTGTAGTTTGTAAACAAGAGGCCCCTCCCACCCTAGTATGCTCCAGGAGACACACACATTTCTCTTATCAATTTTTATTGGAAAAACAAACATCATTTTACATCTTAAGTTGAAGTGCTCCTCTAGCTTGTCCCCTCTCTTTTCCCCAACTACGAAGGAGCCCCTCTCTTGTCACAAAAAGGGGAATACTGCAGTTTTTGAGATCCATAAATTAATTACCAAATAACACCCAAGACTTGGGTAAGGCCACATAAGAATACTTGGAAGGAGTATCCTGGGATAGCGAAAGCCCTCCCTCCAAGGTCTCCCCCCTCCCCCAAGGTCCTAAAGCCCACAAGGGAAAAGCATCAAATAAACTAGGATCACCCTTCGGTTATGTGGGTGAGAAGCCAGGACAGTGCCCACCACTCCCATCACCAGTAACTAGATGAAAGGGGGTGGGAACGGTGGTTTATCCGGAGGTTGGGTCCCTGGAGGCCAGGCCAGCCTGGAGGGCAGGGAATGATGGCCAAGGTCACTCCTGATGGCATCCAGCTGATCCTGGAGGAGGCGGACCCTCTCGTCCAGGCTGCGCTGCTGGGCTAGGACAGCGGCCTTGCCAGCCAGCAGGGCGCAGTAGGCACGAAGCTCCCCCGTGGGCAATGTTCGCATCAGCAACTCTCGCAGGGCTCGCTCCCGCCGCGCCACATGCTCCTTCAGCTCCTTGGCGTCCTCCTGCTGTCGCTGCAGGAGCCTGAGTCGCTGCAGCAGAGAGGCCTGGAACAGCGAGGAGAGGGCACCGTGAGCAGGGCAGGGCACTGCCACTCCCAGGATGGTTCCAGCGGGAGATTCAGGCCCCTCTCCACCCGGCTCATCCACAGCCTGAACCCCTTTTACCCGCTCATCAGGGTTGCCATTTGAGCCTGCCCGGACCAGGGCACAACGCACGCGCGCCAGGCGGCTGCCCAGCAGCAGCAGAAGGCCCAGCACGCGCTCCAGGTCGGCCATGAACCTGCTGAACCGCTCTAGCTCCCGGGGTGCACAGGCCTGGCCCACCACAGACTCTAGAGCTGCTCTGCGCCTGGCGCATGCCTGGGCCGTCCTGCGCAGCCGCTCCTGTTCAGCCTGAAGGTCCTGCAGCATCTTTTCGAGGAGGTCAGCGAGTTCTGCCTGCATGGAGGTCCTGGGTTCTCAGGGCTGGGGCCAGGCCCTGACTTCTCAGCCCAGACTCTGGGCTCTTGCCCCAACCGACATCCACCAGCCCCTCCACACTCACCTTCTTGGCCTGGATGCTGCTGGTTGGCTCAGGAGGCCCCTGACTATATGGCTGGTGAGGCACAGGGTGCATGGTAGAGTTTTCAGCCCTTGTCTCCTCCTGAGAAGTTGTCAGGAGCTGGGCAGAGCTGAGTAGACAGGACCTGGAGACAAGGCCAGAGCTCCTGGGTTGTCCTGCCCCAGTGTTCAGGCTTAGAATCCCCTGAGTCCTTGCTGCCCTTCACTCACCGTGGCTCAGAAGTACCAGCAGCCTCCTCGTCAGCCTCCCCACAGGCTGGCCCCATTGCAGCCCAGACCTCAGCTAAAGGAATCAGTCCATCTAGCACATCCAGGGGTGGCTCTGGGCTGGGGTAGGGGGCAAGGGTGTCACTTAGAGAGGGATCCAGCCTGGCCAGCTCCTGAACCAGATCCTTGAGGCGCTGACTGGGCCATGGTGGCCTGGAACCAGGTTTGCCAGTGCCCCAGGATAGGGCAGTGCGGTCAGGAGGTCCTGGGGTATCATTGCCTGCAGGTTCCAGGCAATCAGCCGGGAGAGGTTTAAGGGGGTCACTCTCTGCATCCGCAGGGGGGTCAGTGGTCAGCAGTCTGGTGGGATCACTGGTGGGAATGTCACCATTTGCAGTTCCAGAGGTGTTACATTGTGTGATCCTGGAGTCACCCACAGAACTGTTCACCCCTTGCCAGCAGCCGTCTGCCCCTGCAGCCTCTGGGCACTCATGGAGAGGGTATTCTGGGGTGACTGTAGCCTGGCCAGCCCTTTGGTCTAGACCAGCTCCATACTGTTGATCAGAGGCATGGGCACTACAAGTGGAAGGAGACATTAAATTAGAAAGCCCCAGCCACAGACAAATGGTGGCTTCCAAGGGCCACCTGCCCCCACCCCCATGCCTCTGATCCCAGGATCAGGCTAGGAGATGGTTCGCTTCCCCTTCAGTATTTTGTAGATGTGCAAGGGGAGTGAGTATTTCACTCTGCTTTGAAACAAGAGGAAATTCACCTGGTTGGGAGCCCCTGGAGGGCACAGGAGTCTTGAGGTAATCTCATTCTGACCAGGGGGGCTTCTTCCAGGAAAACTTCATCATCAGACAGGGAGGGGAGCCGGGCAGACACAATGCAAGTCTTTGAGACCTTCTGCTCACAGTCAGCAGGGCTGTCCTGGGGGCCTTCTGCAGGACACACCACTGTAACCGCCTCCTGAGTCAGGAACCTGGAGACGGGGACCCCACACTGACCACAGTGACCTCAGGTAACCACAGTGACCAGGAAGGAAGCTTGTGGTGTACTAGGGAGACGGTGAGGGAAATGAGGGTGGGGTGGGGTACATAGTTTGCAAAAGACAGAGTCAGGGGGCTCAGGCCAAAGGCAGGTGAGGGGCCCTCTCCTTTTCTGGGAAGAGCTATGAAAGCTGCCTCTTCCAACTTTAGTCCCCAGAATGGTTCATGTGTCTCACCTGGAATGTTTGGTCTGACACATTGGTCTGGGGGGTTCTGCTCCTGGGGGAATGGCCTGGAAAGGCAAACAGTTGATAAAATGTGGTGAGAATTTTCAGTCTCCTAGATGATCCACCCCCTCACCCTACCCCCAACCCCGCATCCCTCATCTTCCATACCTGGACAATGGGTGTGACCCTACCTGGGCCTCTCCAGAGGCCCAAGACTTCGCCTGAAGTGCTCTGACTCCGACTGGCAGGCCTGTAGGCCTCATGTAGCTTCAAGAAGCCAAGGTCCGGGTCCAGTGGGCCTCGGGGCTGGGTCCCGGGCAGCCATCTGATGTGGCGGCCTTCGAACTCAGCCCCATGCGGCAGCTCCTGGGGCTTGGGCCTGGCCAGGCCTGAGCTAGAGCAAGACTCACCCGAGCATTCCTCTGCGGGCCCAGCGTCCTGACCCACGCAATCCAGCTTCCCTGGCTCTGAGAAGCACCACTTCCGCTGCTGGCTGGCTAGGCACCCTCCGCCGGCGGTTCTCGGCACTGGAGCCCCGGGGCGCGCCCGCTCTACCTCGCCAGCCGGGTGGCTGACCGAGGCGGAGCGCAGATGCGCCATGGAAGACCGCGCGGGTGCGGCGGGCCGCAGGCGGGCGGGCAGGCTCATGCGCAGCTCCTTGCGCTGGAAGGACGTCTCCCGCAGCACTCGCCGCTGTGCGCCCTGCAGCCGCTGGCGATAGGCAGCTCGCGAGGCCGGTGGGCTGGGCGGCTCCGCAACCCGCGCTACGGCCTCAGCCTCAGCCTCCGCCGCCAGCGAGTACAGCAGCGGGGTGGCCTGTCTGTTGAGCGCCCCCGGGGTCCCCTGTATCTCTGGAAGGCGCGGCCGGTAGAGTGCGGCTGCTGCTGGCTGGGGACGAGGGCACGTGCGAGGGCCAGCGGCAGGTGGGGTGGGGGCCGGGCCACCCCACACCAAGCGCACGTAGTCCCTGTCTAGGTAAGGAACAGTGTTGGCCTCGGGCGACGGCGGCGTGCGCGGCTCAGGACCGCCGGAGACCGCGGAGAAAGAGCTGTAGGCTGAGTCGGAGCGCAATGACAGTCGCTGCAGGTCCAGGCTGCGAGTGGAAGAGGCCTGAGGGGCGCTGCCTCCCCTTGGACCCAAGGCATCCATGGCTGCGGGGATGGGCGCTGAGGCTGACTGGCTCCGTGAGTCCTGGAAGAACATAGATGGGATGGTGTGTGAGAAGTTCTAGGTTGGTGTCAGGACAACATGCTGACCCCTGTACCATGTAGAGGCGAGGGATCACATGCCCCTTTCCTCATCCCGCTGCCCTCACTGGCATTTCCCGCCCCCGAATTTTGGCGGAGTCACCTCAGGGTCAGAGATAGGAAAGCCCCGCGGAGTAACTCTGGACTTTGAAGGCCTCGGCTTGTGAAGGAATCAGAGATTAGCCTATTCCCGACTGGGTCGCCCCAGGGGCACAGCCTCAGCCTCTAACCTGGTACCTCCTAGGGACAAATGTGCTAAGAATGTACCCATGCTCTTTCCCCTTCCCAATCCATCCAACCCAGGCTGATTCTCAGAGGCTCTGTTCGCTTCTCCATGTGATCTTTTTCTGTTAAACAATGGTGAGGAACGAAGGTTCTGTTGTCACAGAGGAGCCAAGAAAGGCTCCCCCCTTCCTATGTGCCAGTTATGTTCCAGGTGCTTATATAAATATTTATCTTCTCACAGCTGTTATCTCCATTTACATATGAGGACACTGAGGCCCTGAGGAGAAAATGATTTGCCCAGGGCACCCAGCTGGTAAGTGGCAGAGCCCTGCCTGGAATCTGGGCCTGTGTCTGAGCTTGCCACAGCCAGAATCAATTTCCTAAAAGCAAACTCTGCTGGAAGTTTGTTTCCCGCTGCTCGCCCACTCCACCCCAGCTGCCTGAAGCTTCCAATAAAGCCCAAACTCCTCTGTGGGAAACAGTTGCCCCAGCATCCCCCGAACTATTGGTAGATTCCAGAAAAATGTAGTGCCTGCTTCTGAGACTCTGGCCTTTGTCTAGGAATGACTAGCTCATCCTCCTTCGTTCTACTACTCTTACTCCCCCTATAGGACTCAGCTCAGACATCTCCTGACCTTTTAGGATTTCAATAGTGTCCTGAGCTTGCGCCATGACAGCACTCATCACTGCTCATAACTGTTGGCTTGCTTGTCATTTCCTCCTCCCATTCCACCCCTGGAGCTCTGGTGGTGCAGTAGTTAAGAGCTCAGCTCCTAACCAAAAGGTCTGCAGTTCGAATTTACCAGCTACTCCTTGGAAACCCTCCAGGGCAGTTCTACTCTGTTGTATAGGGTCGCTATGAGTTGGAATCACCTCGACAGCAATGGGTTTATTCCACTCCTGAACTTCCTGAGGATAGACCCTGCTCTTATTCATCTCTGTACCCTCAGTGCCTGGCACTGTGCCTTGCATGTAGTCAGTGTTAAATATTTGTTGAATGGCAAAGGAGGGAGCAGACTTGCAGGGAATAGATGTGGGAGTGACCTTGGTACAGGAGTAGGGTTCCTTAGCTTCTGTCAACCCCTCTCCCTCTTCCTAGTAGTCTTTTCTGGGGAAGGGGACAGAAGGGATGAGGCAGTTGCCACCATGGACGCTGACCACGTTACTCATGCATTGTTAGGAACAAACAGCAAACAAGCACAGCTTGGAGCAGAACTGGCCAGAAATCAATACCTCCCCAGTCCCGTAGAGGGGGGTGAGGGGAGAAGGGGATCAGTGTGCAGTGCCCAGCCTGGGCTCATCCTCTCACCAGGGGTGACAGCAGCCTGGAGGCTTGGGAACCTGGAGCTCCCAATGGGCTATGGGTCTTGCCTTCACCGCGCTGCTTGGTAGGGAGTGCAGAGTAGGGTGGCCTGCAGGTGGGGACCAAAAAGGAGGCTCATCTGGAGCCTTCTAGACAGATTGAAGGTCAGAGTCACCCTCCACCCCAGTTCCCTGAGACCTAATACAGATTCCTGGTCAGAGCAGGTAGGGGTGTTAGTCATGGGAAGATACAGTGTTTCCTAAAAGGGAGAGGCAGCACCTGAAGCATTCGCAGCTGACCTGGGACCAGAATATCTTGACATCACTGGGAGAATCTTTACACCCACCAAGCCCAGCCCTGAGTGGCCCTTATACTCAGGCTTGAAGATCTCTTTTGCAAGGTATTTCCACCCTGGACTTAAGGAAGACACAAACAAAAAACAAAAACAAAACATAGCTACCCTAAGTATAGCCCCTGAGAAGACAGTGACCTCCTCTAGGAAGCCCACCCTGGCTGCCCAGCCCACCAGCCCTCTGTTCCTAGTCCTTCTGAGCCCAACCTGGGTGCACAGTTTACTTTGGCTCATGCCACCCATGTCTGCCCATGTTGGCTTGCCACATCTACAAACAGGGTGACTGTTCAAATACAGATATTTCCTTTAAAAAGTCCTTGAAAATATCTTCCTTGTGAATTACTGTGTTGACGAAAGGATTCTGAGCTCACCAAATAAAAGTCGCTAACAGTTTGAAAGGATAATAAAAATGTGTACAACATCTCTTTTCTTATTGGGCCCTACTTGTCTGGAGGATGCTTTTCTAGTGGTGACCCCCGTAGGTTGATGACCGTGCAAGATGTTCACACTGTGCAGAAGCGGCTATGCCAGGAAGCCTCATCTGCTTTGGTGTGTGTGTTTGGGGACTCAGCACAAACGGTAAGGAGTTTTCAGTCCAGCCAGCCCCCAGGGCTATGGGTGGCCACACCCCAGTGGCCCCAGCATCAGCGTTAGTGTCAGCTGTGGGCTGGGCCGCAGAAACAGTACCTGCTGTTGAACAAGAGGCTGGAGCTCATAGAGCTCTGCAGGTATTTTGCCAAGCCTGGGGGGGTAGGGGTTGGCAGCATGGAATCTCTGCTAGAAAACCACCAGACTTGGGGTGGGGGGAGCATTCGATATATATTTGTCATCTGAATGAAGGAGCAAGGGAGGAAGAAGACACAAAGATGACTCCAGGATTCAGAGCTGAGGGCCTGGGAAGTAGAGGTGCCAGTCTCAGGAAGGAGGATGCTGGAGTGGGGGCTGGCCAAGGAAGGGGTCCAGGGTTCATTCAGTCTGGGGCCTGGGGGCTTGGGGGTGTCTGTGGCAAGTCATGTGGTTGAGATGTGGGTTTGGAGCTCAGCAGAGAAGTTGGGTCAGTCAAGCAGGCAGACCCAGGTCTTAGAGGATGTTGAAGAAATAGATGAATTCATTAAAGAAGACAATTTCTGGTGGGTAAACATCCATACTAAGGTAATGGGGGAAACCCTGGTGGTGTAGTGGTTAAGAGCTACGGCTGCTAACCAAAGGGTCTGCAGTTCAAATCCACCAAGTGCTCCTTGGAAATCCTATGGGGTAGTTCTACTCTGTCCTGTAGGGTCACTATGCAACGGGTTTGGTTTTTGGTTTTAAGGTAATGGGAGAAGATCCAGGGAAGGTGACAGGAGAGGCACAGGAGAATGATCAGCCTCAAATGCAAGAACGATCAGGAATCAAATTGTACCTCTCCCAAAAGTCAACTCGCATCTAACCACTCTGTGGAGGGGTTTCCAGGCCACCTCTGCTGGCCTGGTCGACCCTCAGTATTGGGCTCACTTTGGGGGCCTGTCTGCATGGCTGCCTCCCTGCTAGACTGAACACTTGAGTCCCAGGTCTTTAACCCCAGCACCCCAGACTAGGTCGGGAGAGGACGTTCTGGGAAGTTCCTAGGCTCTCCCTGTCCGCAGCGCACCGCGCCCCCCATTCTTCGGCGTAGCGTTCGCGCTCTGAGTGGCTGGCTTACTGGACTCGTCTGTCCCTCCAGCCCGGGTGCAAGGCATCCAGAGAGCCTAGCTCGGGCCTTACACAGGAAATGAGGGACGCTAGCGGCCCCTTGGGGAGAGACGGCCGCGGGCGTGGGCTTGGGCGGACTACGTACCTGCAAGTTCAAGCTCTGGGAGTCGAGGCTAGTGAGCGAGGACCGAGGACCAGGGCCTGGCATCCGCAGAGGGCGGCACAGTCACTCGGCGCAGCGAGAGCGCGGGGCCGTAGGGCAGCCTGTACAGCGGATGACCGCTGGCCGGCACATTTCCCGGCTTTTCCTGTTGGGTTCACCATCGGGGAAGAAGCGCTCAGACCACCAGCAGGGGCGTAGCCCTATACCGGGTAGGAGGGACCCCAATTCTCCAAGTGCTCCACGGCTGAAGGCCAGTTGCCGCGGGTCTCGGAATAAGACCCCCACTGCATCGCGCTTTCCCCGGCAGCCCCGGCAGTTCGCTGGGTCTCTCTCCTCCCCACTCCTCAGGAAAAGTAAAGGAGCACAGGAGCCCCAAGGAATCTCGTAGAGCGCACTTGGCACGGAGTCGAACACCTCCAGACAGAAGGCACCAGCTGCTCTGCCGCTCGCAGCTACCCCTACCCCGCCTCCTCGCTGCGGAGCTCTGTCTGCCCCGCGGGCTCAGACTCGCCTCCGCCAGGGATGCGGGCCCGCAGCGGGATCTGCCGCCCTCCCCCAGGCCCCGGTGCCCTGGCCCAGCTGCGTACCCCAGGCTCCAATCCGTGAAGCACTCCTGGGCGCCCGCGGCCGCGCGGTGACATCAGAGCCCAGGGCTCCAGCTCCCGACCCCACCTCCAGGCTCCGGCTGCCGGGAGGGAGGCGCCCCGTTCAGCCACCGGGGCAGGAGCGCCGAGCCACCGCACTGCCCCGGAGCCGCCAGCCCCTTCACAGCGTCCGCTCACTGGCCTAGCCCCGGATCCACAGGGCAGACACTCGTTCCACTGCCGGGCAAGGGGGCTCTTGCCCCAGGCCGCACGAGCGAGAGCTTGGTGGGCCAGGGCGAGGAGGGGGCATGGAGCACTTCTTCCGCCTCCAGTGCAGCCCGGCTGGGGGTGCCCAGATGCAGCTGATGTGCATGTCTGGTCTCTGGCAGCCCAGACACCCGCCTCGGTGGGAGGTCCAGGCCGGGCCACCAGGTCGCTAGAAGGCCACCCCATTTCCTCTCAAGCTCTACCAAGAAAACACCCGCCCGGGGATCATGCCTCCATCCCTGTTCCTCTCATTACTGTTCGGATGGTAATCTGCGCTGGACCAACTCTCCCTCCAAGCCCCCACTTCCAAAACTCTCCTAGCTCTTTGACTCCCACC